AATGATCGTTTGGATTGATTTCCGAACAATCACATGATCATCCGGAGCACAACCTGGTACACATTTTCGATTTGCCTATCGACAGATAACAGTAATGCTTTTGCTACGCCTATTTATCGTATTAGATAACAAGAAGATTCGTGTTTTTTTTTAAATAAAACTTTATTAGGCCACATAAACTTAATTAATTGGTTCTAATAATATGTAAATGTTAAAGTACCCCCACCCGGCCGGCTTTTAATTTTAATTACAAAAATATATATATTTTTTTTATTTAGAAAACTAATAAACCCATTTTTTTTTAAAAAAAAAAACTCACCCGGAAGTATTCATAATAAAAAAATTCTGGATTTTACAAAAGCTAACCCGGCCGGGTTATGAGAAACAATCAATTAATTTTATATGGCCTAATGTTTGTCTCAGATTGCAGCTTATATATTTTAGATGCTAATTGTTTGGTTAGTACATACGTTAGCCTAATTATATTCTTATACGTATTGGTACGTATACGTATCTTTTATCCTTAATTTAGGTTTGCTAAAATTTGAACTAAAACATGATACATATTGTACGTACGTACGTTTCAAAATTAAATCGGAAAAATAGATTCAATGCCTTACTACGTACAAAATTATTTGATCTTATTCCATCTGAAATAGTAAACTCATTGAATACGTAAAACCGTTACGTATTGCATCTATATACGTAAGATATATCTATATTTTTACATACAAAAACTATTATACGATACGTATGTTTAACACTGTTACACAGAAATAATATACAGGTCAACGATAAAATATTAATGAAATATTTTATATACGTAAAAAAAAAGTCACCGAGCCCAACCAAAATCTTTCTTAAATCAAGACTTTCTTAAAGACTTTTTTTTTATAAATATTTCAATTGGAACTTGTAAAATCTTTATGTCAAGGGTTTCTTACATCGTTACTTGTATATACATAATTAACATAATATTTATGACTTTATAATTGTTATATATTTTTATAAAATTTTTTCTTAGTGTAAATCCAGTAACCATATATATATTATACTATAAAACAATAAATAATAACTATATATATATTTCTATGTATACCAATATTTTCTTTAATTTTAAAAACATTATATTTTGTACCAAATCCATATAGTGAAATATGTAACTAATTATTTATTAACATTGTAATAAAAAAGATTCGCCTTAACAACAATTCATAGATACAATTTACATGAAAGTTTAATTATACATGAAAAGAAAAAAAATAAAAAAAGAAAAGGAAAGAAATAACAATTCTGATTTAGCCTTTAGGGCTAAGTAAGCACAAGCCTTCAATACTGTTGGAGGCCCTGATTGTAGCGATAATGTATTTATAACAGATTATTTCCGGTTCTCCATATGGCCGTGTATAAACCAGAAGTAATCATATGTGGCAAGGATTGAATACGATACTCTATTACCGTACATGTACCAATATACCTGCCGAATTACATGTCTCGCTTTTTCGTTTGCGTAAGTGATCTTTGAGAATATGGTTTCTCTTGATCTTAGCTACTAATGATCAATCCGAAAAGTCGTAATCTGCTCCCATTGCAGTATTTAATACCAAAATTGACGTTAACATCAATTGCGGTGCATACTGACTTCTTCTTGTGAAATGGTCAAATTCCAGAATTTGAAACTTTTTCTTTAGATCGAAGGTATGTCTATTCACCTTCTTAAAGGATCCCTCCCCAAGCCTCACATTTTTTGGAGCCTTCCCCACTGCTGCAGTAGTCGACTTTGATGTTGAAGCATTAGGAGCAAATTCAATGGAAGGTGAAATGGACGACAACGCTTCTTCCTAACTCAAAACTAAAAATAAAAATACAAGAGCTAAGAAAAAATCTAAGATATACACAAACATTCATTTAAATTTTATTGAATTACCTTTAAAGTTAGGTCATCTTAGATTAGGGTAGATTAGGTTTTAGGTGGTTATATCTATGCAAAATTGCCTTCGCGACATTTTAACTTACCCAAGGTAAGTTTTTCGCTTTTTTTTTAAAAAAAAAAAATTCTATAATTTGATAATTTGATAATTTGATCGGTCGACCCCTATTTTTGGAATGAAAAAAAAAGTTAATTCCGGCCGAATATTTTTAAATATTCAGATCTGATCTGAAGTATGAATCGAATCCAAGTTAGGATTCGAAATCGTATCAGATCCGGATTCGATCCGAATCCTCTTTTCGGCAGTTTGCTGTGTTTATTTAAAAAAAAAACGTCCTGGTTCAAATATATTTACTGAAAAAAAGCTGTTCCTGTTTAATTATAAAAAAAAAAAAAATCGCACTGATTCAAATGGATTTATTGAAAAATTTTATATTAAAAAGACGGCCAAACAGGAATATCCCAAGGCAAAGCGGTCAGGCCTTGAATGCAGCCGTTAATTCGAATCACTATGTGAGGAAGCATATGGAGAATAATTTAATTAACTGCTTAATTTGAAAACTCAATCTAATTTCTATAACGATAATAACCGTATTGTTAGGACCCAGTATAAGAATAGGCGCGTTACAGTCAACCGGCGCCCACCATCCACAAGAGGCAATATTCGATCCTAAATTCTTCTACCCACGCGCAATCCATCAGAATCGTACTGATGCATGCTGCATATTCACACCAAAAATCATCCAATATGGGTTAAATATCTGGCATTATTAGCCAGATGCATTTAAATAAATCTAGATTAGTTTTAAAACTACGGGGTTTACTAATGTAGTAGAGATTTGGTGCAAGTATAAATTAGTCCTAATCCAATAAACATCAAATAATAGGTTGTAACCATAATTATACAGTTTATTCAATAAAGTTATAGCGGAAAGGCACCCGCTCTTAAAAAAAATAAATAAATAAATAAAAAGTTAAAAATTAAAAAAAATTTTAAAAAAATTAAAAAAAAAAATTTTAAAAAATTAAAAAAAAAATTAAAAAAAAAATTTAATAAAAAAAAAAATTAAAAAAAAAATTAAAAAAAAGTAAAAAAAAAAATTAAAAAAAAATTAAAAAAATTAAAAAAAATAATAATATCTAATAATACTCACATCACGTTTTCAAAAAAAATAAAAATAAAAATGATAACTAAATAAAAAATAAATGCATTCACGCCATCTTGAGTATAATTGTTAGGCGAAACAATATTACACAAAGGGAAAAGGTCACAAGAAATCAGACATAACTTAGCATTAGTGAATTTTAGCAATAAAACGAATTCGAATCGAGTATTATCCGATCGAATCTCTATTTGGTCCGGATTCGCAGGATTCGAATCCTCCTAGCCACGCGCAGTCCATCAGAATCGTACTGATGTATGCATGTATGCCTGCATATTAACACTAAAAATCATTGCATTGGAAAAAAAAAAATCAATAAATGGGGACCCCCACAGCAGAAGGGTGCAATGAGCCAAAAAAAATTTTTTTCTAAACTCAAATTTTTTGAAGAATTAGAACAATCAGCTTCCAATTATAAAATTACAAATTTAAAATTTTCAGCCCATTGCACCCTTTTGCTGTGGAAGTTTCCAAATAAAGAATAAAAAATAAACGCATTTATGTCATCTTAAATATAATTGTTAGGCGAAACCATGGAAAGAAATCAGATGTGTATAGCTTAGCATTGGTAATAAGCCGGATCCGAATCGAATATTATCTGATCGAATCCCTATTTGGATTCGAATTCGTAAATTTTGGAATTCGAATAGATTCGTCGAATCGAATCCTAAATCGAATTCGGATCTCAAATTCATTTTGCGGAACACTACTAGATCCGAATCGAATATATCCGATCGAACCCCTATTTGGATTCGGATTCGCAGGATTCGTAAATTTTGAGATTCGAATAGATTCGTCGAATCGAACCCCGAATCGAATCCGAATCTCGAATGCATTTTGCGGAACACTCCGAGAAGCTGCCGTGACAAAATTAATGATAATTCGAATCTGAGTAAATCCGAATTGACCTTGACCCACTGTTCCGTTTTACTTAAAAAACAAGACGCGGATAGAACGGGGTAGGATGCTAGCCCGTTTGCTCAATTTAAATCCAACAATTTATTATCCAGAGCAGAGGATAAGCAAGAAAAAATTCCAAATGGGTTTCAAGAAAAATAGGACGAGATAATATAAACAAGCGATTCCAAATTACTACTATCATTCAATCGATCAGAATAAAATTTGGAGCAATGTTTTCTAGTTGTTAAACGATCTTTGATACTTACCACTAAATAAATAAATTAAATTATAGTGTAATGGTAATGGTTAATATTACATCAATTCATAAAAGATCTCAACATTGGCCAATCAGAATCATGACAATAGATCACATGTTGGATTAAGATTCGAATAATCCCTCAATCCGAAATATTCAATCCAAATTAGTCGCAAAAATATTTTTAAATTTTGGAAAAAAACTTTATCAAAACAAAAGCAGTTGCAAAGTTTTTTTTTAAAATTTGAGCAAAGATATCTAGACAACCACCTGTCAAAAATCAATAAAACCTTTTTATTTTGAAAAAAATTCGTCGAGATAGATATCTTCGCGAACAAAAATACATTTGAATTATTGATTTCGTCAAATCAGAATGTAGATGTTCATCATAGCTGTTTTTGAGCCCGACTCGGCCCATTCCGTACCCTGCGACACTTTTTCATATCTTAACGTGAAGTGATCTAAAAATATTGAAACAAAAGTGGATCGTGTTTCATAAGTAACTGAGATCCGAAAATCTGTGCGTTTAGTGCGCGCATGATGTGCGCTAAAATTTATTTAGAATTCAAATTCCAGTATTATTAAAAAAAACTCCCTTTTCTTGTAATTTAAGGGTAGAGTATACGTAGATCATTTATCATATGATATGCATGGCAAATTTTTTTGTGTAACAACTTACATAGTAAACACAAATCTAATTGGGTAATTACCTGTTTTAGGGGACGTCTAAAGCGGAGGCAACTTATATTTAATAATTTTTTCGATTAATTTAGGGTTAGGGTCTTCTATA